TTTTTTCTATTCTTTGTGCTGCGTGAAAATAAAAACATTCCAACAAAAACTCCTCGATTATCAAAAAAATAAATATATAGGTAAAGGCCAACCAGCAACAATGGGAAAATAAGGCGAGAAATGAGCTGCACCTGGTCCAACATCAAGTACCTAAAGGCTTTAAATCGCAGGAGGGGGACGACAACAATAACCAGAACAACAACAACAACAATGACAAGGACAATAACAATTTGCCACGACGTAATGGGAACCAAAAGGAAAACAACAACAAAAAAGATAAACGAAGCCAGGACTATGGCAACATGGACTATGAGGATGATAACACTGACAACAATAACAACAACAATAACAATCCATCACCACAAAGCCGCGACGAAACGCAGTACGACAATCTAGTGTGGGTAAAGACGCTAGCTGGCGGCGGAGGCAGAGGCGGCAGTATCAATGGAGAGCGATTAGGAAAAGGCGCACCCAATAGCCCCAGCAGTTATACGGATACGAATACTGATACACGCGACCAGCGCACATGATATCAAAGAGTTGGCGACATCGCGCAGTCGCAACAACAAGAACAGCGGCCCCAACAACAGCGACAGCAACCACAACAGCAACAACAGCACCAGCACCAGCATCAACAACGACGAATGGCGCTGCCGCGTCGTTCGAGTTATCGGCGACGTTTGCGTCGAAATCACTGAATCCGCAGGCACAAATCCATATTGACTCATATCTTTACTCACATATAAAAATAGCATACCAATAATTACACACACACACACACGCAGAGTCGTACACTCGCATTGCGCTGAATTGCGTTAGTTGAACTAAAATGAACTGAAGTGAACTGAGGTGTTGATCCGCGGTCCACATAGCCGCGTATACACTGACAATGACAATGACTATGGTGACAATCTCATTGAGTGCAAAAACGCTCACGGAAGTGAGTGTATGGATGTGTGCGCGCAAGTGTGCAAAGGAAACGGAAGTCTACGACAGCAGTTAACAATAAATGAGAAATAAACGTAACTTTCAATTGAATGGTTTGTTGGAATAAGAGCATAACAAAAGCAATGGATTGGCAGTGAAAGGCAGAAAAAATAGACGATGCAAAAGTATTGCGAAAAAAGATGATGCAACGTGCGAAAAGTAGGAAAATAGAAATAAAATGAAATTAGAATAAAATGCCACTGTTCTTTTGTGCACTTGTGTATGTATGCGAATTGAACTGCGAAGTGTGGTTAAGCATAAAGTAGTGAAAATTTTCAAACTACGACTGTTGTGAATGGGATTAGCTGTGGTGGCCTCCTCCCCTAGAATTTTAATTGACGAACTGCGTTAAAGGCCCAACAAAGTAACTTAACAATAAATAACAAGTTAAACTAAGCGACAAACCGACCGACCGACAAGCAACCTACCAATAAAATAAGTATAGGTGTAGTACTGTTTTTCTTTTTTTTTTTGAATAGGTAAGTGCGCAGGAACAATACCTTTTGTTTGGGGGAAACTAGAATTTTTGAATAAAAGTTTTGTAATGGACGCATGAATAAAACAATTAAAATATAGAATGAAATTACAACTAAATTCACTTAAGTAGAAGTTAAATAACATAAAAATAATAAAAATGTGACAAAAACAAAAGTAAAATGAAACAAAAGGGAAAATAAAATTAGAAATTGAAACTGAAATAAATTATTAAAAAAGTAAAATAAAATAAATAATTAAAAAAGTAAAATAAAATAAGAAAGAAAAATTGAAATTAGACAAAAAAATAAAATGAGAAAGTAAAACTAAAAAATAAAAAAATCAAATAAAAAGGTAAAATAAAATAAAAAGTAAAATAAAATGAAAAAGTCAAATGAATTTAGAAAATTAAAGTAATATAAAAAAGGATTGAAAAAAATAAATACTTAAATAAAAAATTAATATGTAAAATAAAAATAAGATGAAATAAAAAAAAAAAAAAGTAAAAGCAAATTAAAATAAAATGAAAAAAATTTATAAAATAAATAAAAAAATAAAACAAGATAAAATAAAATGAAAATTTAAGTATATAAAAATTAAAGTGATTATAAAAATAATAAAGGCTAAACAAAATTTTAGTAAAAAATTAACCAACATAAAATAAAGCAATAAAAAACATCAAAGAAAAATTAAACAAAATTTTATTAAATTAATAAGGAAAAAAAATGAATAATAATTCAAATAAACTTAAGCAAAATAAAAACTAAACGAATTAAAAAATTTAACTCTAGGCGTTGAATAAAATTTAACCAAATAAAATATAAGAATAAATCAAGTAAACCATTTTGCAAAGAAAAATGAAATAAATTAAAAATCTTTCAATGACATAAAATAAAGTGTTGATAAAATTAAGAAATTTAAAATAAAATAAAGTAAACTAAAACTAGTAGCCCATTTCCACTCAAAGCTCAACCGCAATTAGGAGTTCAGGTAAGTTCCAAGAATTTTAACATGAGGTGATCGCCGAGGTTTAATTCTCACGTTTTGCTTTTTATCTTCGATTGTACTTAATATAAGCAATTACCTTCTCCAAATTTAAAACTCCAGTAGGTACTCTTACCAGG